ACCCGCCGTCGCGCGCCGCTTGCTGACTTTTTTGCCGCCGCCGCAGCTTTGCCTTTCAAGTCGGTGGGCGGTGGGTGGGGCGGGTGGTGCCGGGAGCTCAGAGTGGCAGCCGTAGGAGGGTCCGCCCTAGGAGTGCAGGTAGGAGCGTTCCGTGTGCGCCAGGCTTCGGGGTTTTGTTCCGGGGGTCAGGCTTTTGGCAGTGCCCTTTGTTCCTCCCTCCCCCCCGCTCCCTCTCCCTCCTCCTTTCTCTCGCCTCCCATGTCCCAACCTCGTCGCTTGGCTGGCCGGGCCCCGCGGTGCTGCCGCAGGGCTGCGACTAGGAGTGCTCTTTGGTCGCCCAGGTCCCCATGTCGCAAAGTGCAGGGCCTGGTCTGGAGCAAGGCGCCAGTCGTCCAGAGGTCCAAGCGGGGCGCTGGAGCCTGAGCCTGCCTCAGGCTTGCACTGCCCCTGTTGGCGCCGGATCCCAGGTTCACAGGAGCACCGCATGGTCTACCTCATCGACAACCGCGAGGTGATGATCGAACCGAGGTTTTGGGATGCATTGTCCTCGCGTGAGCTCCTCGCTTGATTGGGTTTTCCCCTATTGCTTCGCTCGCACTCGACCTTCGCTGAGGCGTGAAATTTTCATCCAGGGTTTCCGCCAGGGGCTTGCAGCCGGCAAGCCCATTGACGTCGTGGCGGAGTTCAGTTTGTGAAGCGAAGGGTCCGAGTCTCCTTGCCCAATTGTGACATGGAAGCGCAGGTGCCCAGGGAAAATGAAGGCCAGGGTCGTCCGAGTGCTCACGCCACACCCAGAAAATTAGGCACCTTTTAGGCACTTCCCCGCGCACCCGCCGTCGCGCGCCGCTGAACGCAGAAGAGGTGCCCTAAAAAGGTGCCCCAATTTTGTCGCACCCCAAAATTAGGGCACCTTTTTAGGGCACCTACTCCGGATAGCCAGTGTCAATGAGCGCACGTTCCGGCAGCCGCCAAGTGAAGCTCGAGCCTGGGAAAGACATCCGCCGTCGCAGCCACGCCGGTCCAGCGGAAGGAGGGGTCCAAGCGCGTGCAATATTTGGCCGCGTGCCTCAGGAAGCCAAACCTGACCGATGCCCAAAAGGCAAAGTATCAGAGGCTGCTCCGCGAGGCCAAGATGCAGCGGGACCAATTGGGACACGTCACCGCGGAGGCCGACCGTGTCAATGAGCACACCAGCCGCGAGATGGACCGCCAGACCGAGCTGCAGGCGAAGGAGTTTCGGCAGGTCAACACAAAGCTGGACGCTCTGCAGCAGGCCTCTGCGTCGAGCTCCGACCGTCTGGACCGCATCCTGGGGCCGGTGGACCAGGCTGGCAGCGTGCAGGAGCTCACCGCCACCATCCAGCTCGCCATGCAGAAGCGGGCCGAGAAGCGCAAGCAGGACAAGGCTGACGAGCGCCTGGCTGCCAAGAGGCGCAAGGAGATCGAGCCCCTGGAGATCCCGCTGGACGAGGGCGACGTGAAGGAGGACGGGGTGGTGCTGCGCGGCGAGCTGGGCCGCAGCAAGCTACGCGGCTTGCGGGGGGACGTGATCCTCAGCTTCCACTCGCTGCCTTGCCGCTTGGTGGAGCTCGGCGAGACGGCCACGTTGCAGCTGGAGGGCTTCGACCAGCAGATTCTCGCTGCTTTGGGCGGGAAGGTGGGCAGAGTCGTCGAGGATGTGGAGGCTATCTCGAAGAACGGGCGTTTGGTTGTGGGGCTGGAGAATGGCAAGCTCCGGGACGTCTTGACCAAAAAGCTCGTGCCGCGCGGTCCGTGCTGGCCGTTCGCTTTGTGCCGACCGCCTTCAACCCGGTGGACTTCCTCCCGCCGAAGGCAGCCCCGACCGAGCATGAGGACAAGCCGGCTCCCATGGACACGGATGCAGAGAGCACAGCTGCGCCGTCCACTGAGGCGCCTACTCCGGCAGGTGAGCGGGTGCCCAGCGAGACCGCCGAGACCGAGCCCATCGAGCCAGTGGTGCCCGCCGAGACCATGCCCGCCGAGCCCATCGAGCCGGTGGTGCCCTCCGAGCCCATCGAGCCAGTGGTGCCCGGCGAGACCGTGCCCGCCGAGATCAAGGATTTGTGGGAGATGGTGCTGCAGGGCAGAGCCGTGCGCTTCAGCGTCGAGCGCTGCGCGGGCTTCAGCCCGCTGGGGCCGGTCCGGGAGGTGAAGCTGGAGCCGGGACACACCATTGCTCCGATTCCCCATGGCGTGCTGCTCGTGAAGGATGACCTCTACGACATCGACCCGGTTTTTTGGAACAAGAACGTCACCAAGGTGGGTCCCCCGGCCGAGCAAGAGGCGGTGGAGCAAGTTCCCGAGCCCGTGGAGTCCCCGTGCCAGGAGCCCGCGACGGAGGAGCCCGCCCCCCCGGAGCCGGCACTCGTGGAACGCTCGGGACTCAAGGGCTACGAGCTGAAGGACAACTGGTTCCAGCTGGCGGCCAGCAGCCTCGAGGAGTTCCAGGTCGCCGAGCCCATCGTGAAGGCCCTCTTCGACAAGTCGATCCTGACCGCCTGCAGGCTGATGTGGGAGGAGCACGGCAAAAACCGCTCGGCTCGCCAGACCAACACCTTCTCTGTGACGAGGAACAACACGCTGAGCTGCGGGGGCAAGGCGGCGGATCCCAAAAAGGGCTGGATCGAGGTGCACTTCGCCTAGTTTTGGTTTTGTCACACGGCTGCCGACCTCGTACAGCAGGGACGTGCACAGGAGCTCGGCTCGCCCGCTCGGCGTTTGTATGCCTTGCTCAAGTCCTTTTCGGCAGGCATCACCCGGCGCCCGACGTGTGCCAAAAAATCCGAGCTCCGATTTGTGCCTGGAGGTTCCGCGGTCAAGCTTGTGAGCCCTTGCTTTTTCTGCAGCCATTTCGAGTCTCGGGCCTGGTGGGCGGTGGGTTTTCTTTTGGTGGCCTGGGTCCCGGAGGCGCCATCCCTGCTCTCTTGAGTCCAGTGTGCCTTGTTTGGTCGGCCAGGTGATGTCGCTCAAGGAGACCTGGGAACGCGACCACGGTCGGGAAGAGCGCCGCCGGATGCTCGATGAGTGCAGCTCAGCGGAGTTGCACCAGCTCCTCGAGGAGGTCAACACAATGCTCTTGGCCAGGCCGTTTCCTTTTGGGGGATCGGCAGTCGTTGCGTGTGTGACCTGGCAGGCTGCGAATGGAGGAGATCCGGCGAGAGCAAGAGCAGCCGGGACCTTGGCGGGACTTTTTTGCACCCGGAGGTCCCTGATGACACTTTCGACTGTCAGGGAGCGACGACGTGAGCCGAAGCGACAGCTTCCCCCGCCAAAGAGGCTTCGACAGTGATACGGAGGGGGAGCGGCCAAAACATTTTCCGGTCGTCCGAGCTCCGAGCTGCCAGTGCTTCTTGCGTTTGTTGCAGCCGGTCACGCCGCACCTAGCCTTTGGCACTTGGGACCGCCGCAGCCGTTTTCAGATCAGTTTTGGGCCGGCGGGGTGGGCGACGCGAGCTGAGCTGAGGTGGGGCTCGGGCCGTTGTTTTTTTCCGCTCTCAGTCTGGCCCTGGCAGGTCCATGGCTGATGCACGAGAGGAGGCCGAGCGGCTGGTCGAGTACGCGGACATGGTTTCGGATGCGGCCCTCAGGCTTCCGAGCTCGGTGAAGGAGCTTCGGCCGACGTTTGTTTCGAGAAGCCACTTTGCCGAGTTGATGGTGCTCAGTGCCAGCCTGACTCCCAAGCAGCGATCCAGGCAGAAGTTTACTGTCGTGACGGTAAACGGCCAGAAGCTCACCTACCGGGTTGATCCCGCCGAGCCTCGGTTCATCTACAGAACCGAGGGCAGCTGCGTGCTGTGTATCGCCGAAGAGTTCAACAACACCAGCAACAGTGCGATCTTGCAGCGCATCGTCTCGAACATGACGGGCAACCACAGCAGCAGACCGTGGCGCGTCCGGGTGCCCACAGCTCCAGGACAGCCCACCCGAGGCTGAGATTTTGCAGTTTTGTGAGCTGGCCAGCACAGCAGGGACCCACTACAGCTCGGAAGGCCGCTCGCTCGGCGTTTGTCTTCCCAGGGGTCGTTTTTAGGCCAGCTCGTTAAGTTCACCAGCCTCTTGCCTGCCGGAGATAAAAAAGAGACCGGCTGTCCGGCAGCTGAGCTTTCCAAGCATCAAGCCAATTCTAGAAGAGGTCGTGGCATGTAGGCTTACAGCACTTGAGCCGTTTTATCGGGCTGCGGGTGGGGCGGGAGAGCGACTTTGCTGGAGGCCGGAGAACGCAGCTTGTGAGTTTTTTCCATTCTCGCTCCGGCCAGGGCATGGACCTCGTGCAGATGACCAGCGACCAGCGCCGACGTGCGCTGTTTGGGCTGACCCTGGAAGAACTTGCTCCGACCTCGTTTCCGCTGTCACCCCCCTCTCCCTACTGTAATCCCAAGACCTAAGGCGCTGCTGCAGAAGGACCTTTCCGTCGTTCTCCTTCAGAAGGTCACCCTCAGAAGGATGTGGGCAGGGGCCTCGGCTGCTTCCTGACCCCAACGTTAGACTTCGGGATCTTCGCCCCGAGGACATCCGCCAAGCGCAGGAGGAGGCCCAAGCCCACCAGGCCTCAGTGCCCTGCACCCCTGCACGCCCCCTACAACAGCCCTTCTCGCCGGAAGCAGGAGCCGTGGACCACGTGGGCGATACATGGAGGCAGTGTCTCGGGGTGCCTGAAGCCTTTTCTTGTTGTGCTGGGCCTCTTTTCTCCTTTCAGGCAGACCCCGCTGAGAAGCGCGACGACAGAGGATCCCGCTGAGTCTCCAGGAGCTTCGCATAGGTCCCTCGAAAAAAACAGTCCGAGGAAGGGGGATTGGGAGGGTCTTTGGGATTTTCGACTAGGGTTTAGGGTTTAGGAATTTCCGGTGCGGGCGTCGTGGGCCTCGTTCAAACTCCGAGGGTCGGAAAGGGTGCCGGCGCCACGGCGGGCGGGAGGCGGCCTAAGGCTACCAAAGAACAGCGAAGCAACACCAGCCCACTCTTCGGTCGAGTCCGAAAACATGGCGCCCAAGCGCACCTTGTGTTGGGATGATCTCTCTCCCCTGAAGCGGCCTCGGGTCGCCGGGGGGTTCGAGAAGCTGCCCGAACCGCTGCTGGGGTCGATCTTGGACTTTCTTGCGCCGATCGCCCATAAGGACGACGACCGGGTCGCGCAGTACAATCGCATGCGCGAGCGCATGTACGGCCACCTCGCCTACAACCACGAGGTGATGCCTCTGGCGCGCGACGCGGTCGCGCTGCTGGGCTCCTGCCGGGTGCTCCGCAGCAGCCCCCACTTCGCGAGAATCGTCGTCTCCCTGAAAATGCTGCACAACAGCTTCGTGAGTCTTTGTGGGGAGGTTCTCGCCCTCGAGTGCCGCTGCCCGCAGTACGAGCTCCGGGCGCTGAAAATCACCGTGGAGCGGATGCCCCCGGCACAGGGGAGGCGCCACGCTCTAGAGCAGTCGCTGCTCCGCCCCGAGGTCAAGGCGTCGAGGTCCAAGCGACGCTGCAATCACCACGTGGCGCACTTCGCCGGCCTCAACCGAATCACCGATGAACCCGTCCGGGGTGAGATGGACCAGGTCATGGACGAGGGCAAGTTCAAGTTGCTCTGGGTCTAGTTGCCGTCAGGGCGGGGCCACCGGCCCGGGATTAAAATCGCGGAGCTGTCTGCACCGGCCGCCTCGTCAGCCGCGCCGCCGGCTCCCCCGAGCCCTGCGGCACCGGGAGCGCGTGCTTCAGCAGGGTCTCGGAGCCGTCCGTGGCCCTCACGGTCATGGAGTCGTAGCTCGCCACCTCCCTCGCGGGGCCGTACTGGGGCTGGAAGCTCCTCGCCGCGTTCGTCGGGGCCCGGAAGGCCCCGGCCTCCTCCAGGCGCCGCTGCCGGCCCTCCGTCAGCCGCTTGTTGTGCTGAAACTTCTCCGCTGTCCTGTGCGGCCGGGCGTTGTAGGCTTCGCTTACCTCGTCGATGTGCTCCCCCCAGCCGCCCCCGTCCCGGGCCACCTTGCCCGCCAAATCCTTTTTCAGAGTCTGGATCGCCCGGTCGACCACGGTCGGAGGGGTCCTTTTGCCGGTGCACCGCGTCCCCCGGCAGGGCGGTCTCCAGCCCCCGGAACTCGTTCCCGAGATCGGTGGTTATCGCGTAGCTGCCCTCTCCCTCCACGAGCTGGGGCACGATCTCCCCGGCCGCCCGCGTCACCGTCTCGGCCCGCTTGTCGGGCAGGGCCTTCGTCGCCACCTCTCGGGTGAAGACGTCCTGCACCACCAGTCCGTACTTGTTCCCTCCCCTCGTGTTCTGGGAGAAGTCGATCAGGTCCGCCTGGAGCCGCTTGTCGGGCCCCTCGGCCGCGCTCTTCCCCAGGCTCCGGGGCTTGGGGGCCAGGATTTGCCTCGCCACGTCGCTCCGCAGCGCCGCCGCGGCCCGAGCACTGGTGAGGTCCCGCCGGTCGGGAAACTCCCGCCGGGCGATTTGGAAGAGCTTGCGGGGATCCCGCACGTTGAAGTCTCGGCCAAGCTGCTGCAGCAGCCCGATCGCCTCCTCTTCCGCCATTTTCTTAGTCCGAGTCCCCTCTGCGGCTCTTCTTCTTCTCGAGCTTCTCCACTCGCTTCTGCAGCTTTTTGACGACGCCCCACAGGACCACGGAGAGCTTCTGGTAGTCGAGGGCCATCAGCTCCCGACCGTCCAGGTTCTTCGTCTTGCACATCGTCGCGCCCAGCTTCCCGCTGGCCTGCACGTCCTGGGCCACGAAGCCGATCTGCTCCTTGCCGCCGTCGATGCGGTCGAAGAGCTGCGGCTCCACGGCGTCGAAGGTTTGCTGGAGCTCCTCCTCCGGGATGGCCCGGACGTTCTCCTTGAGCGCCCGGTCCGAGAGGTTCACGAAGCCGTAGCCAAAAATGACCTCTCCATCGTTGCTGCCCCCGATGTTGGGCTCGATCGCCAGGTTGGCCAGGCCGTTGGTGGTGTTTAAACTTATGAACTGGAACTGCGCGTTGAGCTCGCAATTGCCGCGGGCCAGCACCTTGAGCTCCGCCACGCCCGCCTGGTTGTTGGCGTCGAGGAGCAGCTTGGCATCTCCCGTGGGCGCGGCGTTGCGCACCACGACTCCCACAGTGCCGTCCGTGGGCCCCACCGCGATCTGCTCCAGCAGTGGGCTGAGCACCTGCACGCCGCTGGTCCCCCCCGACAAGCTCAGGAAGGGCAGGCTGGCTTCGGGGCCCAGCACCCCGTTGATCCGCACGGTGTCGTCCATCAGAATGCCATTGGTGCCGCCCTGGACGGCTCCTACCGGGTCACCAAGCTGGGCAGGAGCTTCTTCAAGGACAAGTGGACCGACTACATAGCCCACATGCCGGTGAAGATCAGGGGGCGCAGGCGGAACGGGAGGCCCTACGAGCGCGACTTCTTCCTGCCTGTCACGCTGGACGGCCTGGGGCGCCAGAGCGATTCGCTCGGCGAGGCGCAGGCGCACCAGAACGTGATCGCGGCGGCGCTGCGGAAGATGGGCGATCCCGAAGATGGGGGGGTTGTCATGGAGCTTAGCGAGGAAGTCTATACCTACGACGCCTCCCGGGACTGGGGCGTCTCCAAGCAGACCATGGAGGTGGTCGACAATCGTGTTGAGACCCAGGTGGCGCTGAACCGGCCTTTGGGCGTGCTCCGCGAGGTGTCGTTCCAGCTCTTCCGGGGCTCGGAGATTCTGGAGAGCGCCTTCGAGCAGCGGGACGACCGGCTCTGCGTGGTGCGCCAGCTCGCGGAGCTGCTGAGGCTCCCCTTCGAGGAGGTCTACAGTGACTTCGATGCCATTTGCCCCAGGAACTGGCAGAGGAAGGGCGTCACCTGCCAGCAGATGCGCGAGTTCTGCGAGTGGCGCAAGGCGCCCCTGTTCATCGTGAACTGCCGCGGACAGCTGCTGGACTGCTACGAGCCCGCCGACAGGGAGCGCTGCGTGGTGGCCTGCTGCGTGTATCGGGACCACGCTTTCTTTTATCGGAACGCCCGCGCCGTGGCCTTTTGCGACGGGGAGCCACGGGATCAGCCCAAGTATCGGGGCGAGGACGAAAAACCTGCAGCTGGCGCGGTCCCGGCTGCTTGGCCAGGGCCACCAGCCCAGGGTCGCGATGCGCGGCCTCGTGGACTGGCGCTACCTGCGCCTCAGAGCCAAGGGAGGGGACTGCGTCATCATCCGGAGGATGCCGAGGCTCTTGAGGCTTGGATGACCAAGCTGGACCTCGTCGGCTACCGGGGGCAGCGCCTCGCCGGGGCGGCCAGCCAGGTCTTTTCTGCCCTCCTCAAAGCTCGCCGTGACCGGGGCAACGTGCACCAGCTCCTGCGGGAGCAGAAGGGCGCTTGCGCTTTGTGTGGGGCCCCCATCGAGCCCGGCGGCTGCGAGGCGGACCACATCGTGCCCGTCCACCAGGCCTACTACGGCCAGACCCAGCCCATGCAGGCCCTCTGTATGGAGTGCCACGCCTCGAAAACCTTCCTGGAGTGCTCCCATGCCACGAGCCTGGAGAGCCGCTTTTGCCGCCACGTCCTGGAGACCTACGCCCGCTCGCCTCGACCGCCGGCCCTGGTCTGCAAGCTTTCCAAGTGCGATCGTGACCGGGTCTGCCACGGCGTCGACGTGGTGCGCTGCCGCAAGAACGCCCTGGCGAACGCTCCCTTTCCGCTGCCCGTGTTCTGTCCGCTCGACAACATCCGCGCCGCCGAGGAGGGGAAGCTGGCGGATTTGACCTTCGTCAGGAAACGGGAGGATCGGCGCTCGCCCTTCGTGGGCAGGTTGCCTTACCTCGGGCCGGGCTGGTACGGCAAGCCCGCCACGGCCTTCATGCTGGAGACTGGCCTCGCCACCTGGGCCGACTTCGAGTGGTCCCTGATCAGGTCCCTGGACGCCACGGCCCACGTCTCCCCGGACTGCTTGTCTCGGGCGCTGGAGATCATGGAACGGGCCTGGCCGGAGGGCGAGGAGCACATGGCCAAGCTCTCCGTGAACGCCCTCATCGGCCTTTGGGCTCGCTCCAAGGACGTCTTTTACTCCATGAGGACCAGTGATCACGAGGTGGACGGCGGGGCTGTCAGTACCAGCAGGTCTTCTTCGACGACCAGGGGCGATGCCACTACAACCATGTCTATGCCACGGAGCTCTTCTCCAACTACTCCATGAGGCCGGCGCACGACTTCGTCATGGCCAGCGAGCACGTGGAGCTTGCCAGGATCCATCGGGCCCTGCGCGAGGTGCCGCCCCGCTACCTCGTGGCGCTGAAGACGGACTGCCTGGTCTTCCAGAACCTGCCCAAAAAATTCCTCAAGGACGTGGAGTCGCTCGCCAGGCACCGGCACCGGGACTGCACGCCGAAGTATCGCTTCGAGGAGGTGAAGCGCCTGGAGGCGGAGTACAGCGAGCCGCGATTGGAGGCCGAGCCGCCGGCGCAGCAGCATCCCTGGACACACGTGGAGGATCCCGTGGCCCACTGCTTGGAGGGGAAGAGCCTGCTGCTCTCCGGCATGCCGGGCACCGGGAAGACGCACCTGGCGAAGCGGATCGTGACGCAGCTCTCGGAGCTCGGCGAGGGGGTCGTGCTAATCTCCAAGACTCACTGCTCCGTGCAGAACCTCGGGATGGGCGCACAGACGGCGGACCGCTGGGCACGGCGCACCATCCGCGCTGGACGCTGCTCCCTGGACTGGCTGGTCGTGGAGGAGGTCACGCAGCTCGATGTCGGGCTGTGGGCCGACATTGCCGAGCTCTCCACGAACCGCCAGGTGAGATTCCTGCTCCTGGGTGATTTTAGGCAGCTGCCGGCGGTGCAGGACGCCTCGGCGGGGCCCCGGTGCTCCGGAGCTTGAAGGAGTCCCAGCTGCTGCACGACCTGGCTGGCGGCTGCGTGCACGAGCTCACGGAGAATCAGAGGAGCGACGAGGGGATCTTTTCCTTTCTGCGGTGGCTGAGGGTGGACGAGGCGGAGCAGGTGGAGCTGCGGGACGGTGTGCAGAGGGCCCGGGAACAGTTCCCCCGACGAGGCCACCCGGACACGTGCCTGGTGATCTCCCACGCCCACAGGATCGCCATCAACGACAGGGAAAACCGGCGACTGGCTCCGGAGGATGCCGTGCTGGTGGAGCACCGCGGGTCGGGGCCGGCGAGGACCAACCAGCCGCAGACCATGCGCGTCTGGCCGGGGCTGAGGCTCGTGGGCACCGGCGCGAAGGTGGCCAAGGGCCTCTTCGTCGAGGTCCGGGAGGTCGGGGAGCGGTTCGTGCTGGACGACGGACAAAGCTTCTCGGGACCCGAGCTCCTCCGCTACACGCGGCTGTGCCACGCCATCACCTACGCGAGCCGCCAGGGGCTCACGCCGAGGGCGAGTGTGGCTCTGCGACGCCGACGACCCGCACTTTTCCTTCCGTGAAGCACCTGTACGTCGGGGCCTCCCGGGCCACGAGCGCGGAGCTGCTCTCCGTGTGCTGATCGGCGCGCGACGAAAAAGGTGCCCCAATTTCGGTGCGCGAGAAAATAGGGCACCTTTTTAGGGCACCTCCTCCGGATACAAGCGCAATCCACCGAGCTGCAAAAAAAAGGGCAGCGTTCCGTTCCCCGACAGCTCCCCGCGAGGGAGGCTGAGA